TGCAGTTTGCAGTGTGCAGTGTGCAGTGTGCAGTGTGCAGTGTGCAGTGTGCAGTGAGCAATATACTCTGAACAGTTTATAGTGTGCAGTGTGCAGTGAGCAGTGCTGTGAGCAGTGTGCAGTGTACAGTGTACAGTGTACAGTGTGCAGTGTGCAGTGTGCAGTGTGCAGTGTGCAGTGTGCAGTAAGCAATATACTCTGAACAGTTTATAGTGTGCAGTGTGCATGATATGAAAGGCCAAACCCTTCTATAAATGAGTTTGATATTCTAATATCTTCCAAATAACAAGAAGTTTTTTTGATGATATGTAAGGGTGGTATGTAAAATATATTTAGAGTAAGCATGTATATATGAGAATGCCTTCAAAAATTGAGATGAACATTTTAGTGATTTACCCCATACCTTGTTTAAATATAATTTTATAATCTGCATTTTGTAAAAACATTTCAAAAATATTTTATTGATCAATAATTGATCAAAGAAGGAATATATAAGTATTTGAAAAATTAATTACTTTATATCTAGCGGTGAAAATTTGAACTTTCAAAGTCTCTTCCCAACGTGGCATAGACCTTTGATATTTGATATCTTCAACATTGTTCCATTTAACTAAGTGTATTTATAAAATATTAACAAGATAGCATAATTTAAAATGACAATAAATAATTTCAAACATTTTCAAAATTTTTAAATTTTTTAAATTTTTTAAATTGCGGAAACTTTTTTGCTTTGTAAATTTATACATTTTGACTGAAGCCATGTCAAGTCCTTTACAAAGGAATTGAGACTTTGCCACAAACTCTAATTTTTAAATCTCTGCAATCTTCTCAAATCAATGTTGTATACCTTAGATTTTTAAACTATGAGTCCTGATAGATCATATGATCTCAGTTTGAAATATCACAGGTTTACACCATCAGGTTGCAAAGATATGAAAATTACAAAATTTGAGTTTGTGGCAGAGACTCAATTCCTTTGTCAAAAAAACGTAAAATATTTATTTTATTTTTTTATAATTACAGTTTAATGAAATCAAATTTAATTATGTTAAATGTACTGAAATATTTAGATATTTGGTCTAATGTATTGTATCTAACTCTAAATACATAGTACAGATGGGATATGAAGTACACCTCTTAGATAGGATTTGTACTTTTTGTCTACTTCATATTCCGTGCATGGCTTTGATTAAATCATTTTGTACAAAATTCTTTAACCTTTTTTTTCATATTTCATGTTGTAACATTTCATTGTTTACATGTTTACTTATCTCTCCTGAATATAAGCTTGCTTGCAAGTTAAAAGTGGTCAACATTGTATTGATAGAAACGCTTACCACTGAATGATGAAAAAATTAAAATTCTAACTTTAGGAAAATAAAGAACATATACAAGTACAAAGATAAGATCAACAATGAAAAAATGAAGAATTCTGTTGAAAAGAAAAGTTTTTAATCAATATGTTAATAATCTATAAAAAAAATTAAGTGTCAACAATTAAAATGCTTATCCATGTCCAAAAGTTCTACTAAGTCTATAAATCTTAGGTAGACTGTAGAGAACAGGTAGAGAAGGTAGGATAGGAAGTTTATTTATTTAACCCTGGTAGAGTGTAGAGAATAGGTAGAGAGGGTAGGATAGGAAGTGTATACATTTAACCCTGGTAGAGTGTAGAGAATAGGTAGAGAGGGTAGGATAGGAAGTTTATATATTTAACCCTGGTAGAGTGTAGAGAATAGGTAGAGAGGGGAGGATAGGAAGTTTATATATTTAACCCTGGTAGAGTGTAGAGACTAAGTAGAGAGGGTAGGATAGGAAGTTTATATATTTAACCCTGGTAGAGTGTAGAGAATAGGTAGAGAGGGTAGGATAGGAAGTTTATATATTTAACCCTGGTAGAGTGTAGAGAATAAGTAGAGAGGGTAGGATAGGAAGTTTATATATTTAACCCTGGTAGAGTGTAGAGAATATGTAGACAGGGTATGATAGGAAGTTTATATATTTAACCCTGGTAGAGTGTAGAAAATAGGTAGAGAGGGTAGTACAGGAAGTTTATATATTTAACCCTGGTAGAGTGTAGAAAATAGGTAGAGAGGGTAGGATAGGAGGTGTATACACTTAACCCTGGTAGAGTGTAGAGAATAGGTAGAGAGGGTAGGATAGGAAGTTTATATATTTAACCCTGGTAGCGTGTAGAGAATAGGTAGAGAGGGTAGGATAGGAAGTTTATTTATTTAACCCTGGTAGAGTGTAGAGAATAGGTAGAGAGGGTAGGATAGGAAGTTTATATATTCAACCCTGAATGAGTGTAGAGAATAGGTAAAGAGGTTAGGATAGGAAATTTATATATTTAACCCTGGTAGAGTATAGAGAATAGGTAGAGAGGGTAGGATAGGAAGTTTATATATTTAACCCTGGTAGACTGTAGAGAATATGTAGACAGGGTAGGATAGGAAGTTTATATATTTAACCCTGGTAGAGTATAGAGAATAGGTAGACAGGATAGGATAGGAAGTTTATATATTCAACCCTAAATGAGTGTAGAGAATAGGTAGAGAGGGTAGGATAGGAAGTTTAAATATTTAACCCTGGTAGAGTGTAGAGAATAGGTAGAGAGGATAGGATAGGAAGTTTATATATTTAACCCTGGTAGAGTGTAGAGAATAGGTAGAAAGGGTAGGATAGGAAGTTTAAATATTTAACTCCTTAAAATATACAAAATATGTCTGTTTGAGTTTTCAGCTCATATATTGCATAAATTAAAGGGCCCATCAGCAAAAACCAGATCAAAACTACAGACTAAAGTATATTTTATATTCATTATAAATATATTATAATTAAAATATATTTACATATATATACATTACCCATTATGTATTGAATCTGATAAATATGATATTTGTAATATTTCATCAGCAGCCATGTATTTTAATACACACATTAAACTCCAATAAACAATATAAAGAATATTTCAAAAATCAAACACAAACAATAAAACTTAATAAAAACTATATTTTTTTGAAATCATGAAATATAAAGATAATCATAAATTTTAATTAATCAAGAATACAGTATAATAACATTTCTAAATATATCAAATCATTCATATCTTAGATATGAAAATATAAACATTGATTAAATAGGTTAAATATATAATTTGACAAAGTTTCCAAATCCCAATATTTGAATTATTTGTTCCGCCATGATTGTCTGTGATATCATGAATATCCTATCTCTTGTTTTGCACAACTATTATTTCAGTTTAACATGGATGAAGAGGGTTGGGTTTCCTTCACGAATACATTCAACATCTTCTACAAAATCCCTATAATCTATGTGAATAATAGGTATCTTACTGTTTGCTCCAATCCACTCTAAACAATCATCTCTAATACCCCATCTATCATACATAATACCTCCTGATATATTCTCCTGGAGATGTGTTTTCATATCTTCCACAGAATACATGGCTCTAGGTATATCTACTGGAGTGGGTAGACCTCTCCTCTCTAGTTCAATCAGGAATAGTTCCTTAATGGTATAATGTTGATGAATAAGTATATATCTCTCTATATTCTTCTCCAGCATCTTATCCACCAGACTACTGTAGACACCAGGATCATGTGCACTCCCTTGTATTAATATGTAACCTGGCTCAGGTTCTTCTACACTAACAGGATTATTATCACGGTCTAGATCTGCAACTACAAGGTGTGTAGTTCCTCTCAATATTTTAGATTCCCTGTCTCTCATTTCAAAGACTAGGAGTGTAGTACACTCTGTACCCCTGGCATGCACATATCTAGTGATGAGACATCCTTCCTGGGATTCTAGAAACTTATCCAGGTTCTTCTCATCTCCTAATTTCAGGTATTCAAATGTTTCTATTCCTCTCCTTCCTAGTTCAGCCTTAAACGGATTATCATCATATTTGTATTTATCTGGAATAAGGCAGACAAATTTTTTATTCTTCTTACAAGCTGCTTCAACTGTTCTTCTGTAGAAATCCTTATCTTTACTACCAGATATATAAACAGGTTGAAGGCCAACCACTGTTGAGGTCCTACTGTCACTCTCAGAAACAGAAACAGATTTATCATATTTCCATATAGAAGCTGTATTCCTCATTATATACTTCAACTCTGAAATCTCATAGCCCTGGTCCTTCAGTTCACTCACATCAATCTCGCATCTAGGATGGAGGGAAATGATAAACTGTTTACCTTCACTACCAGCCAAGGAACCAGTTACTCCTAACAAGTCTTCTTCATCCTTGCTATCCAATTTATCCCCAAACTCATCAAGGAAAATAAACTCCTCTGGAAGGTTCTGAATAAACTTAGCTAGCACTGAATAAAAACTCTTCTCTCTTTAAATATAATATAAAGGATTATAATTTTACCTATTTACCTATTATGTATTGAATCTGATAAATATGATATTTGTAATATATCATCTAGTCAGCAGTCATGTATATACACACATTAAACTCCAATAAACAATATAAAGAATATTTCTAAAATAAAAAACAATCAATAAAACTTAATATAAAAACTATTTTTTTTAAATCATGAAATATAAAGATAATCAGAAATTTTAATTAATCAAGAATACAGTATAATAAAATTTCAAAATATATCAAATCATTTATATCTTAAGTATGTAAATATATACATTGATTAAATAGGTTAAATGTATAATTTGACCAAGTTTCCAAATCCCAATACTTGAATTATTTGTTCCGCCATGATTTTCGGTGATATCGTGAATATCCTATCTTCTTGTTTTGTCCAACTATTAGCCCACTTTAACATGGAAGAAGAGGATTGGGTTTCCTTCACGAACACGTTTAACATATTCTTTTCCTCTATCTAGTTCATCTATGTAAATAATAGGTATCGAAATCTCTGCTCCGATCTTCTTCAGGCAATCATCTTCAATATCCCGCCTATCATACATAATACCTCCTGATATATCCTGTTGATGTGATTTTATAATTTTCACAGAATGCATTCTACCAGGTTTCTTTACTGGAGTGGGTAGACCTCTCCTCTTTAGTTCATTCAGGAATAGCTCTACATTGTAATGTTCATGAATACTAATATATTTCTCTACTCTCTCCTCCAGCATCTTATCTACCAGACTACTGTAGACAACAGGATCAAGTCTATTCCCTTGTATTAATATGTAACCTGGCTCAGGTTCTTCTACACTAAAATGAAGATTCTTGCTGTATAGATCTGCAAATACAAGGTGCGTAGTTCCTCTCAAAAATATAGAATCTCGTTTTACATTCCCATCAAAGACTAGGAGGGTAGTACATTCTACACCCCTGGCATGTTCATATTTAGTGATGAGACATCCTTCTTCGGATTCTAGAAACTTTTTCAGGTTCTTCTTATCTTCTACTTTTAGGTATTCAAATGTTTTAATTCCTCTCATTTCTAGTTCAGTCTTAAACTTATTATCATCATATCTTAAATCATCATCATCATCATCATCATCATCATCATCATCATCATCTGGAAAAAGGCAGACAAACTTTCTACTGTTCTTACAAACTGCTTCGACTATTCTGCTGTAGAAATCATTATCTCCACTACTAGATATATAAACAGGATGAAGACCAAGCACTGTTGAGGTTACTCTATCACTCTCAGAATAAATAACAGTATTATATTTATATATAGAAGCTGTATTCCTCATTATATACTTCAACTCTGTAATCTCATAGCCCTGATACTTCAGTTTACTCACATCAATCTGACAACTAGGATGGAGGGAAATGATAAGCTGTTTAGTTTCACTTTTAGCCAAGGAACCAGTTGTTCCTAACAATTCCTTTTCATCCTGCTGGCTATACAAATGATCCCCGAACTCATCAATGAGTAGAGTATTAAACTCCTCTGGGAGGTTCTGAATAAACTCAGCTAGCACTGAATAAAAACTCTTCTCTCTATCCTTATCTCCTAATATAACCCCCATCTCACTGCATATTTCAGTAGCACTGTAAAACCTGATATTGTTTCCTAAATCTTCTATTTTCTTTCTCATAATACTTTCGTAAATTGGAGGAACATCTTCATGGGGTAGCAAGCAGCTGATAAACACAACCTTCTCCGCCAGAGTCTTTAGCTTATCAAAGAGGACTAGGGTCTTTCCTGAAAATAACATTTATAATAAATTCTAAAATGGGAAAATGGTAAAAATAATAATAATGATAATGGTAATACTAATAATAATAATGATAATAATAATAATAATAATGATAATAATAATAATAATAATAATAATAATAATAATAATAATAATAATAATAATAATAATAACAACAATTAAATACAATTACTCCATTTTGATTTTTTGCAATAATAAACAAAACCTGATCGCCCATCTCTATGGAGGTTACTTATTATAAATACATATCTCATTATTAGAACATTTATTTTTTAAAGTATTTTTTTTATTATAAGAGCATTTCTTAATACAGTGGTGAGCGATTATATCAGTACAATGAAGACGACTTTCGATTTCTAATTTGATTTGAATAAAGCTTTTTAACATAATGGATACACATAAAAACAAAAGTCTAGAGAAGTTGTTAATTAAAATAGCTTCTTTTTATTCACTTGTAAACTTGTAATTCGAAAAATCTTGTTAACAATCAAAACATAAAAAAAAAAGTTATCCTCATTGTATACATATAATCGTCTATTATATTTGTAGCAAATTGCCCTTACTCCATATATTTTACTGGTCTTTCCAGGTCTATTCTCAAATAAGCTCTGTAATTAAACCAGGCTGGATACCAATGCACGCAGGCTAATCTAACTCATATATCTCTAAACGAATTCTCACACTAGCAAGCCGGGCTATTATACGATCTAGCAATGATCATCTCATAGTTGCAAGCCGGGCAACTTTCACTCATATAAACCTTAATGGGTTCTCACACGAGCAAGCCAGGCTAGTATACAATCTATCAATGATCGTCTCATAGTTGAAGGCCGGGCAACTTTCACTCATATAAACCTTAATGGGTTCTCACACTAGCAAGCCGGGCTAGTATACAATCTATCAATGATCGTCTCACAGTTGCAAGCCAGGCATCTTTATCTCATATAAACCTTAATGAGTTCTCACACTAGCAAGCCGGGCTAGTATACAATCGATATCAATGATCGTCTCATAGTTGCAAGCCAGGCAACTTTATCTCATATAAACCTTAATGGGTTCTCACACTAGCAAGCCGGGCTAGTATACAATCTATCAATGATCGTCTCACAGTTGCAAGCCAGGCATCTTTATCTCATATAAACCTTAATGAGTTCTCACACTAGCAAGCCAGGCTAGTATACAATCGATATCAATGATCGTCTCATAGTTGCAAGCCAGGCATCTTTATCTCATATAAACCTTACTGAGTTCTCACACTAGCAAGCTGGGCTAGTATACAATCTATCAATGATTGTCTCACAGTTGCAAGCTAGGCAACTTTATCTCATATAAACCTTTTTGAGTTCTCACACTAGCAAGCCAATCTAGTATACAATCTATCAATGATCGTCTCACAGTTGCAAGCCAGGCAACTTTCACTCGATGGGCGGATTTTTGGTATTGTCAATTTAGTAATGACAATTTGGTGATGACAATTTGGTAATGACAATTTGGTAATGACAATTTGGTAAGGTGACAATTTGGTAACGACAATTTGGTAATGACAATTTGGTAAGCTCACAATCATTTAACATTTAAGAGGATGCAGTGCTTGGCCCCTAGCCCATCCTAGCCGCAGTGCTCGGCCCAGAAATTGTCTTAACCTAACCTAACCCAAAATAATGTGAGAAACAGCACATTATTTAACATTTATTTGAACGCAGCGCTCGGCCCCCTATCCCACCCTAGCTGCAGCTCTCAGCCCATAAATTGTCTTAACCTAACCTAACCTAACCCAAAATAATGAGAGAAACTGCACATTATTAAACTTTTAATAGGCTGCAGCGCTCCACCCCCTAGCCTATCCTAGCCACAGCGCTCGGCTCAGAAATTGTCTTAACCTAACTTAACCCTAAATAATGTGAAAAACAGCAAATTATTAAACATTAAATTTAATTAAATTTAACTTTCATCAACAAATTGTCACTTTTTTGTAGTTACCAAACTGTTGTTACCAAATTGTCACTTTTTTGTAGTTACCATATTGTCATTATCAAATTGTCACTTTTTTGAAGTTACCAAATTGTCATTACAAAATTGTCGTTACCAAATTGTCACCTTACCAAATTGTCATTACCAAATTGTCATTACCAAATTGTCATTACCAAATTGTCATTACCAAATTGTCATTACCAAATTGACATTACCAAAAATCCGCCCATTCTTTCACTCATATAAACCTTAATGAGTTCTCACACTAGCAAGCCGGGCTAGTATACAATCTATCAATGATCGTCTCACAGTTGCAAGCCAGGCAACTTTCACTCATATAAACCTTAATGAGTTCTCACACTAGCAAGCCGGGCTAGTATACAATCTATCAATGATCGTCTCACAGTTGCAAGCCAGGCAACTTTCACTCATATAAACCTTAATGAGTTCTCAGACTAGCAAGCCGGGCTAGTATACAATTTATCAATGATCGTCTCACAGTTGCAAGCCAGGCAACTTTATCTCATATAAACCTTAATGGGTTCTCACACTAGCAAGCCAGGCTAGTATACAATCTATCAAGGATCGTCTCATAGTTGCAAGCCTGGCAACTTTTTCTCATATAAACCTTAATGAGTTCTCACACTAGCAAGCCAGGCTAGTAAATGTTATATATAAACGATAATGTTATATACATAAACAACTACTTCTCTTGTCGTAGTTATAACAGAGTCGTAAAACCAACTCATTTGTATTTTATCAAAGGGATCCTTTTATAGGATACATACAACATTATTCATGGTTACTGGAATTACGTATTTAAGCACTAGAATACAGAACAGCTGGATTCTAGTGCGACACTAATTTAACATATGCATTCAGTTTAGTTTTACGCAGATACAGGATTATAAGTTAAGATCATAGCTTTTGCCTCTACTACAGGATTATAGATAATGAGAATCAAGATCTATTTACGAATATAAATATGATTCTATTTACAAGATAATGCGTCTTTAACACAACATTCAGATTTGATATACATCTCTAAGAGATTAATGAAAATGAGTTCATACTTCATGCTTTGGGAGCTTTATGTTAAATATTCATTGAAACGGAGTATAATGTACAATAAGTTTTAGAGAATCTTAACTGTTTACTAGCATTTTGCTACATATTTCTTATTATATAAACATGTTTTGCCAAAAAACATATTTTTTCATGAAACCTTTCTTATTATGAAAAGAGTTCTGTATCCTTTCTTTGGATATTTTTGACTAAAGGTGTGAGTATCCCAACATGACACTTTAAAGTTATCATGAGGTAACTTCAGAAAATTTTGATGACTATACCATCAAGATTTTACAGACTTTACCATGAAGATTTTGGTGCCAAAAAATAAAGAAATGTAAAAATAATTCTCTTTATACCTGACCCATAGTCTCCTTTTATAATACATCTTGGGTTATCTTGAAGGAGGAACTGAGCTTGACTCTTGTTCCAGAACAAAATGCTTTCCTGGGAACCAACTGGTTTTCCTTTCAAGGAAGAAAACAGTGGAACTGTGGAAGAGGAAGGTCCTGGATCCTCTGACACTCCAACACCTAGATCTGATGTGTTGGATCCAACAAGTTTCCCCTTAGTTTCCTTGACAGGGTTCGAGGGAGTCAGGGAGAGAGAAGCATCAGACTTGGAACAATGAGAGGATGCCATAAATAGTTTTACAAGTGCAAGGTATGTTTCATCACTCTGGAAATTTTGATCTCTGGGCAGTAGTAGGTCTTCCAGGCTTTCTGGCTTTTTTAATTCTTCTTGAGTTAAAATCAAGCCCTTGGGATACTTTGTTTTAAATTCAGGATGTCCTCTTACCTAAATGTTTTAATGTATTTAGATTTGTTTTCAATGATAATGATTTAGGAAAAGAATAAATATTAAGGATTGTATTTGTTAGACACTTTTACGTATAGATATCGTTTACATCTACAATTTCAAAAATTTGTTTAATTAATTGAATTATGAAAAAAAAAAATAAAATATATTATGGACATGTCTATAGTATTAGTTTATTGCTGTTAAAATTTACTTGATATCTTTATCATTTTATATCTGAGGCAGAAATGGTAGACAAATAGTACAAATACATTTCATAACATTAGGCATAACACTAACATTTTGGCATGACATATTTACATTTTTACTTCAATTTTCTGTGTACCTTGAAAGTTCTCTGCTTTATCAAAGATTTTACAGAACTTTCAAGTAGTTTTTTTATGCATAAATTGTGTCTACCTCGCTTTGATTTTTAGTATTAGGAAAAGCAGCAACAGGTATAAATTCCCAGTTGATCATGTTTAAACCAGCAGCAGCTAGCACACCTAGTACTTCAGTGTAGAACTTCTCTCCTTTCTCTAGCTGTTTTATAATATCTCCACCTCCACATGTTCCTGCTTTGACTTCTACATGCATATATTTGTGATCACTGAATACATATATAAAGTCAAATTCTTGGCTATCTTCAAGTTGATTCTGTTTACTTGTACCAGTAAATGAGCGGAACTTATTGACAGTGTATTTGTGTAAGAGAGCTGTTCTTGATGTTTTAGGAGTTCTTGTCAAGTACTTAAAAATATCATGTTCAGCAATGTCACCTTTTACATTCCCCATGAAGCCTCCAACTTCATCCTTCTCTCCCACTTCTACACTTTCATACATCTGTTCTTCTAACTCATCAGGAGGTAAATCAGGGGTTTGGCGAATACAAACACTATACAACCGTTCCTCTGGAAATCTGACACTGACTTCTCTAAGATCTGGTAGATATTGCTCAGCAAACCAGTCTGCAGCTTCAGCAGGTGTCCACTCTCTTGTCTCTCCCCCTGGTAGCCGGTATGTATTCTTGCCTTCTTCTTCTTCCATGTTCTCCATCTTGATTTTTCCTAAAATATAAAAGTAATAAACCCTTGCTTTTCTGGGATACTTTTAATGCTGAATATACTGTATATATTAGGGTCCCTGATCTTCCCCTCATTCTAATTCCCTTATATATTTGTTTGATATTTCAAGTGTCTCTTAACAAATAGATGTTAAGTTGCCAGAATCATTTAGGGGAATAAGTGTTGTTTTTGCTTTGACACTTCATCCCTTTTTCATTTTCCTTTCTTACTACAGTGCAGATATTGTGATTTGTTTGATATCAGAATAATCCTTTTATTTTAGAAAACCTATGCTCGCTAAGAAAGAAAGAAAGAAATAAAGAAAGAAAGAAAAAAAACTTTTGAAATTGAGGCTTTGGCAACGCGGAAAAAAAGCTACAAATAAGATAAAATACATCATACAATCATACACAAATTGTGTAAGAATTGTTTTCCACAATTTACATATTTACTAACACACTATGCATAATTCAGCGCAAAAGTGATTTTTTTTGCTAATTGCACCACAGACAAAAAATGCAAAAAAGGGGGGGGAAGCATTTTAATACTGAAACTTTAGAAGAAAAACCAAGGAGGGCATTGATATTAAATCATATCTTACCTCACTGACAATCCAATAGTCCTGACAACATCAGTAAAGGTCTCTTTACTCCCTTAAAAATGAATGCTTTGATATTCTTTGAAAATTAGGAAAAAATAATACTGCACAAAATAATTGAGTTCTTGCCACAAAGTATGGTTTTCTAATCCCTATATCTTTGCAATCCAACGTCGTAGACCTCAGATATTTCAAACTGTGATTTCTTAATTATTAGTTAATGTAAGTTTGAAATATCAAAGGTTTACACCATCAGTTGCAAAGATATAGGGATGTGAAGATATGAGTTTGTGGCAAAGACTCAATTCCTTTATATTTATTTTTAGGTTGGAATACTAAAAAAACTGTTATGGGCCATAAATTATTTTTATTAAAAGTACTGTAAGTATAAATTAAGTGACCCTCCATGCAAATATGGCAATGTCCAATTCACAACGGTACCCTTGAAACCTTTATTTAATCAATAATGGGAAAGATATATTGTTGTTGTTCTAGGTTAACATGTGTTTTATGTTTCCTATTTGTTTTCCTGCAGTAGAAATGCGCAAGTCATTTTAGTAGATAAACTACAATTGAAAATAATCAGTTTTCAAAATTTAAAAAAATATAAGACAAAGCTGTTTTGGGTACTGTTGTAAATCCAGCATTGGCGTCTTGCGTGGGGGATCACCTAATGTTTCATACCAAAAAACCAGCTTTTTATAAAGAGTGTCATTTACTCACAGAGAAATTAGAACCAATGGAAATTTAAACTGACTCTGACCAAATCGTGCATTGCCATCTTGTATGAAGGGTCCCTTGAAATTACGCTTACAGTCCCTTTAAACAAAGGTTTTTTTTAAATTAAATAAAATTAAAATTAATTCTTTTTCTAGTTAAGTTGGAGTGAGAATTAGAGTTTACAAAAATAAAACAGAATTTTCTCTTTAGTTAAAGGGAGTGTTCGCGAAAAATGAAAGGAGGTATAGGCTTAATGCGATAAAAAAGTGCTTTTAATCGCTAATAATCTTACTTCTATCTGTTGCGTCTCTAAGGAGAAAATTGTTAAAGACGTCTCATACCGAAAAACTTTGCGCCCATACAAATTCAGAAAATTGCAACATATGACTTAGACCGTAAAAAAATCAATTTAGTTTCAAACAAATCATTCAGATATTACAACCTATAGTCATCGATTATCTTTCGCCACATTTGTATATAGTTTATATTTTATAATATTTTTTAATTAATTTTGAGAATGCCGCGCACCACTCACATTTTTTAAAAACCGTTAAAACGTTTTCTAAATAAAATAAAATATTATGAAATATGAAATTAAAAGTAAAATTAGTAGCGATCAAAAGCGCTTTTTTATCGCATTAAGCCTATACCCTCCTTCATTTTTTCGCGAACACTCACTTTAATAAATTAAAAATGAAATTAAAAATAAATTAAAAATGTTAACTTCCCACTCTTTAATGTAATTTTGCCCAGCTCTAATCAAATCCCTAATCACCTTTAAAGTTCCAAATAAAGGATTTAACCCCAAATTAGGATTTTTATCACTGCTAACCCCAGGACCCTGGTTTACCTAATGGTATATTATTTATATTAATATTGTAGTTTTATGTTCTTATTTTCTACATATCTCAAAGCAGAGACAACCTTAGTGTATAGAGTGGTATATCTGATTCATAATGTTGCCCTTTAAACCGTTATCTGAGTAACAATGGGGAAAATATTATAGTTTTCTGAAATAGTTTGGAATTCCAGTAATTTTCTTTAAATGGCTCTAAACCATAAATGTGCATAAAGACATTTTCATACAAAAACCCAAATTACGAATAATCAACGTTTAGCTAGCCAAATAAGAAAATCTTGTCTATCCTTGTTCAGACAAATATATAAAGGGTACTGTTGTAAATCATAAATGCCACTTAAAATATACGTCGACAGTTCCAACAATCTAATGCTCTGTTTTTAAGACAATAAATGAATGGAATCTTATTTACCTCTAAACTTCCAATTAAAGGATTTAATCCAAGAATAAGATTTGATCCTGCACTGCTCACTGCAGGACCACCTAGTAGGAGAATATTTTTATTTAATAATACAATTTTATTCATATCTTTTTTAATAAGAAGAGAAGGGGAGGGGGAATTTTTAAAAGTTTTTAAAGGAAGCCATGTGTTTGATTATAAAATCTGTCTGTAAATATATAAATATACTTTGTTTTGGTGTTTGTTTGTTTGTTTGTATCCAATAAAAGTAAAAATGACTTAACAGATAAAGCTTAACATTTTTGAGACAACTCACATGACTCCGGGGAAATCGGCTCAGAATTAAAAAATTTGTTGAAAATCCACCAAAAAAATGTTTATTTTTTGTCGTTGTTATTTAATAATTAAAAAAAATAATTCTGAAAATGTATCCACCCATAAGTACGATTTTGAACCTTGACTTTGCGCTCAAACTCAAATCTCAAACTCCACAACAAAGCATACTAAGTTTCATTACTTTACATAGCCGGTCTTGTCCTTTTAAGGTTAAATAAATCTATATATGTAAGCTTTGATTTTACATTGGTTGGTTTGAATTTGTATCCATTAAACGTAAAAACGGCTGAACCAATCCGGCCCAATTTTTTTGTCAGACCTAACATGACCCTAGGAAGGGTTAATGGATTGACTGAATTAAGAAAAAATTCCTTTTATTCGATTTACAAAATCCACGAAAAAATTGATAAATCAGCAAAAAAATTGATAAATCAGCCAATAAAATTAGATTTTGTTATTGTTAGATGATCTAAGCAGATAGAGCAACAATTAAAAGTTAAAATAAAAGATGGCCTGCAGCTGGGATGCCTAGTAAAATTGACCATTCACCAATAGTAATTTAGTTTTATAAAATACTAGCTCAAGGGCCCGGCATTGATTGTGAAAAAACAATATTTGAAAAAATATTTTTAAAAAAATATTTTGGAGAAATAAATCATTTTTTTTAGACTAAAACACCCCAGGGCAACCCATGAGTGTCCACAAAAAATTTCAGCTCATTCAGTCCAGCCGTTTGACCGGCTATAGGCAACATATATATATATATGAATGTCTTGTTTTATTGTATAGATTAAAAAAGAGTTTAAAGAGGAGGTATCAGACCGTGAGAAAGCTTAAAATGTATGTCGTTGCTGTCGTTGTAGTCACAATCCGTTTAAAAGTGGTTAATAATGACAATATCCTGCATTATGTCTGTAGTCCCTTTATGGGTAATATTGTGAATACATGTATATAAATGGAGGGTCACTTGAAATTATGTCTGTAGTTACTTTATGGGTAATATTGTGTTGTGAATACATGTTTATAAATGGAGGGTCACTTGAAATTATGTCTGTATAGTTACTTTATGGGTAATATTGTGAATACATGTTCATAAACGGAGGGTCACTTGAAATCATATCTGTATAGTCCCTTTATGGGTAATATTGTGAATACATGTTTATAAATGGAGGATCACTTGAAATTATGTCTGTGGTCCTTTTTTGTAGAAATATTGACAAGTTAAAAAGCATATATTAATAAAAAGGGGCAGGGGGAGGGGCCGGCTGTTGGATGTTGGGGGTCACAAGAAAAAACACTCACCTCCTACTCTTTAAGCTGTTGCAAACAGACCGGATAAATATTGATATTTACAGCATAATAAAATCAGTGTACATTTTTTATATATGCATGAATCTAAGGTCTGTCTTAAACTGCAAAGTGTTAACAGTAAAAAAAGATAAGGTTTAAAGGTACAGACCGGCTGTGTAAGTTAGTTGAACTGAGTATGCGGTGTTGTGGAAATATTCTTTAGGATTCATTTGAGACATATAAAACTTTTTAAAGATTTGTAAATCCTGAGTTTCAAAACTCCTACTTGGGGTGGATACGTCTTCAGAATTATTTTTTTAAAAATTATTAAAGAACGAAGACATAAAATGTAAAAAAGTTCTACAATAAACTACAGATGTCAAGTATAGGAACAGGTTAAAAAATAGGAGCAACTACGTTTCAATTTATCCTCGTTTCTTAATAGTTTGTTTTTATGAATCCTGAATTTGAAATTATACATATGAAGACGACAATTTCCAAACATTGTATACTAGCACCGACCCCTGACCTTTTAGCCTGCCATAATAAAACAAAATTAATATCATTAGTTTTGGTGATAAATAATGGATATTGTTTTTGTACCTAATCATGAGAGGGAGGTTGGGGTGGGGGTCCAAATCAAACCAGAAACCCTCGCAAAGGGACTTTAAGTGTAATTTCACATGACCCTCTATTTAAAAAGAAGGGCATGGGAATAAAAAATATGAAAAAAATTTAAAATCTTATACTAGGACTGAGCCAACTATTGCAATCTTCATGGGTCAGAAACCCCTGAGGGCTGCAACACCTGTAATTGATTTCATAATGTACACAAGATACATTTAAACTTAAATAATTATGATTTCTTTCACTTTTCGTTTTCAGATAAAGAATGGCAGGATGAACAGTAACACTGAATTCAGCATTGCAAACTAATTTATCCTTAATTCGTGGAAGCCGGAAACAGGTACAATTTTAGTCGAAATGTTAAGGGATATTTCTTTTAAAGAGTGCCATCAAAGATTTACAACAAAGATTAAAATTGTTTATTGCACTCTATAAATTATGGTTACATACATGTACTATGTGTTTCTTTTAGGATGAAAAGCACTCCCTTTTATGTTTTAGGCCCTTTCTCCTTTAACTTTCTGAACGAGTCAGCTTTTTAGCAAAAAAGTCCTGGATCCATTTTTTTCAGAATTGAATCTGCATCCAATTGGACAACTTTACCCGTAATCCTTTTCAAATCTTTGCCCGATCCTTGTGGACAAATTTTTCAAGAAATATTGATTAATTCTAAGAATTTTGGAAAATTTGAATTTATTTCAGGATTGCGTTTCTTCCGCATCTCATGATGATCTCACTACTATGTACACCAGATGTACAATGTACAACATACAGTGTACTGCACTGAAATTGCGCCATGAAACATCGGACAGATGCAAACATTACACTCTCTTGGGCACCGAAGGTTAAGAGTGTCACATGGGCTTACTAGGCGAGCAGCCCAGGCGGCAAGATATCTAGTACCGGCTCGATAGTACAGTACATTATTTTGTACTGGCACAACATATTTCAAATGTCGTCCGCTTTCTTCGAGTATGATAACTCAAATTTTATTTCAATATTTTTTCCGTAGCAAAACAATNACAATCTTCAAACTTTTAGAGTTGTGTTTTTAAACTTTTTTGTTTAAAACGTATTTTTCGACAAAAAAAGAATACAGAAAAGGTGAGAAAAAATATGTTTAAAAGGTCATAACTGTGATCTAAAGTCACAGTTTCCTGGAATAATGACCGAATCATTAAATTTGTGTGGTTAAAATAGAGATCGTTAACTAACGGTAACTTTTCAAAATCATGGAAAATATCGTTAAAAAAAAAATGTTTTTATTAACAGTTGTAACAAACTGTTAACTAATAGCTTTAAGGGCGGGGCGGGTGCATGAATACTAAAAAATGTAAGATAGCCTTTAATAAATAGAACTGGTTTAAACTTAACATATTTTAAAAGTCCTTGAAAATCTAGAAGTGATAAAAAGTATTGGGGCGACTTTAAGACCTCGTAGCTCTCCTGATTTAAATAATTAATTCTTCTCAATAGCTCTACAGTCTACATAAAGATGTGTTATGATTGAAAATATGTAATATTTCAATCTAAAGTTAGTTTTACTATACTCGACGAGTTTTGAAATCTTTATATCCGGGGCTACAAGTATTTATGGAACACTAGCTCCAGTGCCCGACGTTGCCCGTGCAATAAAAAAACAGTTTTCTTAGCCTATGTTACTCCCCGGGCACCCATGGGTTCCCTCAAACATTTTCAGCCCAGTTGGCCAACTATTGCTAACACACAAACAAATCTATGTGAGCGAAGAGCTTTTTTTATTTCATAGATGAGGAAATTTATGTGAACGCTCCTCAGACAACTAACAGTGACAACTTTCAGGTGATAAGAAACAATAATTTAAAATCTAACGAAAAAAACTTTAAAATCCCTTTTAAAAGGGCAAAAATAAATTTTCAGTTGAAATAATGAAAAAGAGGAATTGTAAATAGAAAAGAAACATATATTGTATATTATTGTATTTCATGTTTTATAAATAAATATTATACCTTAATCTTAGCATCTCAATCTTTTTAATTTTATTTTCCAAAACAATAAAGTTAAACAATAACTTAATAGCTACTTCGTATTTCATTTTTACAAGGTTTAGAGACGCTGTATAGTAATAAAAAATAAAAAATAAATATTTATTATTTGACAACTGACATATTTGTTCTTATGTTTTCAATAATGTGTAATTCAGCTAAGTAGCTCAAATATGAAACTATACAAGATTTGTTTTTATACAACCTTATACAACCCAACGGCTTTCCGGTCGTTCTACAATTTGATCGTTATGATGTAAAAAAACTTTTATGGNAGTTGGTTGACTATCTCTACTTGGTTCAGTTGACTGACTAAATTTGATTAATTCAGTTGGTTGAGTAGCTCTACTAGGTTCAGTTGGTTGATTATTTCTACTGGGTTCAGTTGGTTGACTATCTTTACTAGGTTCAGTTGGTTGACTAGCTCTACTGGATTCAGTTGGTTGACTATCTCTAATTGATTCAGTTGTCTGAGTATCTCTACTAGATTCAGTTGGTTGAGTAGCTCTACTAGGTTCAGTTGGTTGACTATCTCTACTAGGTTCAGTTGGTTGACTACATTTGGTTGATTCAGTTGGTTTAATAGCTCTACTAGGTTCAGATGACTGACAACATTTGGTTGATTCAGTTGGTTGAATAGCTCTACTAGGTTCAGTTGGTTGACTATCTCTACTAGGTTCAGTTGGTTGATAAATGCAATTGGACTTTTTTTTAAACTTTAAATCAGAGTATGATTTTTGAAGAAATAAAATTCGAAATTAGAATCATAAATTTAGATAGGCTGCCAGGAAAAATCAGATTAAGTTATTTGAAAATATTCACCAGTTGAAATATTCACCAGTTGAAATATTCACCAGTTAAAATATTCACCAGTTGAAATTAGAAATGTAAATGGATTTTTCGAAAGAAGAAAATTCAAACCAGAGTAAAAGAATTCGAGAAAATATTCAAAAATTAGAAGAATCAGAGATTTACTTATTTAGAGAAAATCAAAATTGATATTAAGAATATTTTTGAAATCTCATTAATTTTACTTCAAGATTTAAAATAGAATTAAAATCAAAAAAGTCCAAAATAAAAATCAAAATTTAATTCAAAAAGGATATAATTTCGAACCAAACTTATTGTTAGAAAATATCAGAAATTGGAACAACATTTTTTATAGAAAATTTTGAAAATTACTATCGGGGATCTAAAATAGGCTTTTCGAAAACACGCAAAAAATCAGAGTAAGTAAAATCCAAAGGTATTTTGAGAATAATAAAAATTAAGATTTAAAATCTAAAAATTAAACTATTCCAAATTTAAAATGGCTAAAGGTATTTAAAGAAAAACAGATATTATTGTAGAAACTTCAAATAAGACTTTTCCGTTTGTGTAAAACTTCAAAAAAATAGAGTTAAAAATTAGATTAAGATATTGAACGAAATCAGAAAGATATTTTGAAACTTGCTACCAGAAAATCAGAAGTTAAGATTAGAAATTTAAAATAGAATCACTTCAAACTTAAAATCAAATTTAGATTTTTCGGATTAAAATCAGACTTTATAATTTTAAATGTGAAATAAACCGCTTTCTGAGAAAAATATACTTAGAAATTCAAATAGGTCTTCAAATTCAAAGGTTATTTAGATACATGTGAACTGGGTAAAATCAGCTGCTTTTATGAATGTCCGCTTATAAAAGAATAAAAAATATTCGAAAATCACCGTAAAAAATTAAACTCGAAATCTATTTTTAAGAAAAAACTTTCATAGGAGAAAAGTATTCAATTTTAAAACAAACGAACAATTTCAAAAATCTATGTGACAAAGATGGAATAAAACTATAACAAAAAACTTGGAAAGGATTGATTTAATGGATTTTGAATAAAATCTAAAAATAAAGGAAAAATTAAAACTTTAAATCTGATTTAAAAGATTAGGCTCGATAAGGACCCGATAAAGTTATTGGGTTGAAAACAGACGAAACCGAAAAATTAAAGGGTATATTAACCCTATCCCTGCTGGGGTACTTGAAAACCAGGATATGCCCCCCCCCCCTCTAAATCCCATGTTTTATGTCCAAATATGACAAATGATACATCATTAGAAAGCTCTTGTGCTCTACTTTTAGAATCTGCAAAAAAATTTGCAAATTTGCGAAAATTGAATTTTTTTCGCAAAATCCAGTTTTATAGTAAAAATGTTTGCAAAAAAAAATTTGTCCAAAAAATGACAAATTATACATTTTTGAAAAGCCCTTGACCATGCCATTTCAAATATGCAAAAAATTTTGCAAAATTTTAAATAACCTGATTTTTAATCAAGAAAAACTAAAAATGTGCAAATTTCCTATGACAGGTTGTTTGCAAAAAATTTGCAATTTTTTTTTCGCAAAACTTGTGCAATCCGTTTCCTTATGTCATAGGCTTTCCAAAAAGCTAAATTTTATCAAAATCTGATAAGTGAAAGTGGGTCAAAACAAAGATTTAGTTTGTTACAGGCAAAAGCAGTCATTCAGGCAGTGTGCCTGAGGACTCAGGCAGTTAGTATTAAAGCCCGGTTTTCGGCCTAAAGGGAGGGCTTTGGGTATGTAAGAAAAGTCAGAAAATTTCAACAGCCTCAGACCAATACTTTTTGAGTTATGTAAAAAAAACTACAGGGGGGGGTCAAATTGACCCCCCCCCCCAGCAGGAATAGGGTTAAAAGTTAATGTTAAAGTTAAACTGATATAAAAATACAGTACTTCTCTTAAGAATTAAATTAAATATATCTTCATTATCTCCAGAGTAAATTGATTGATTGAACATAGCTTGGATATCTCCAGAGTAAATTGATTGATTGAACATAGCTCGGATATCTCCAGAGTAAATTGATTGGTTGAACATACATTCATTATCTCCAGAGTAGATTAATTGATTGAACATGAACAGCATTTAGACTTTTCTTTAACATAATAATGACGACATCTAAACTATCGAAGTTCAATACATCTAAACATAAATGCAGGTTAATTCTCTACAGTATCATATATTACAATATTCAATACTAAACATAAATACAGGTTTATTCTCTACAGTATCATGTATTCCAATATTTAATACATCTAAACATAAATACAGGTTTATTCTCTACAGTATCATATATTCCAATATTCAATACATCTAAACATAAATACAGGTTTATTCTCTACAGTATCATGTATTCCAGTATTCAATACATCTAAACATAAATACAGGTTTATTCTCTACAGTATCATATATTCCAGTATTCAATACATCTAAACATAAATACAGGTTTATTCTCTACAGTATCATGTATTCCAGTATTCAATACTAAACATTAATACAGGTTTATTCTCTACAGTATCATATATTCAAATATTCAATACGATGAAAAACAAGAAATATAGAAGTCTCAAAATGTTTCCATCTGATATTATATTGAAATTTAATAATATTGTAAAATTTAATTAAAATAAATTAATAACTTGCTGTAATTGAAATATAATCACATTTTGAGCAGGGAACCTCACTCCTTCATGTTTACTTTCAACATGCCTATTCAGATCACTTGATGTAGTTGCCGCATGGTAACATTTAGAACAAGGACATCTCACTTCATGTTTACTTTCAACATGTTTCTTCAGATCCCCTGCTTTAGTTGCAGCATGGTCACTCCATGTTTATTTTCAACGTGAATCTTCAGATTTCTTGCTGTAGTTAGGCGCAACTAGGGGGGGTGGCCGGGCGCGCGCCCTCCCCTAGCACCTGAGAGTGGGGGGGCGCCCCCCCCCCCTGCAGAATGAAAAGAAAGAAAGAATGGCGAAAATCAGTATCACAGGAATAAGAAAACCAATAGAGTTATTGTAGAAATTTTATTATACTATGGTTAGTTTAAAAAAAATATTTTTATCTTTCTCAATTCTCAAGGCTAAAGGCTGCAATTTTTATTTTCTTGGTTTTTGTTCTCTTCGAAATCCTTTACAATGTTTCAAATAAAAAAGCAAATATACAGGGTTACCCAGAAAGAATGAGACTTTTAAAGATTTTAAACTCTTACAAGTTTAATTAAGTTTTTTTGCATTGAATGTCATAGTCCAACAAATATAATGACTTATTCTGAGAATGGGGTAAATAAGAAACAAATTTACAGTTGCAGGGAATCATAAATAAAAGAAGACAGCTGATTTATCAACTTCGTACAGCTGATATATCAACTTCGTACAGCTGATTTATCAACTTCGTACAGCTGATTTATCAACTTCGTACAGCTGATTTATCAACTTCGTACAGCTGATTCATCAACTTCGTACAGTTGATATATCAACTTCGTACAGCTGATTCATCAACTTCGTACAGCTGATTTATCAACTTCGTACAGCTGATTTATCAACTTCGTACAGCTGATTTATCAACTTTGTGCAGTCCTCTTTAACGCTTTCTTTTTGGGCAACCATGTAATACATTTTCTCAAATAGATTGTCAAGCACAAAAGATGGCAACGTAGAATTTGTATACTCTCAATGCAACTGTATTCTTACATCACAAGTGTCAACAGTTTTTTGTGTCCGACAAAACTATTAATAATAGTGATAATAAAGTGCTTATATTACAGTGAAGTAAATGCAATTTTGTGTTCTTCATTTTCTGTTTTTACCCTTGTATATTTAATCTAGGAAAACATGTCAACAAATGGGAGAAAATGTTGTCTTCCTTGTTATATTTGACACTTGTGACGTCGTGTATAATTGGTCCATATCTCAGTAGCCACCTGTTGTACTGGATAATCTATTTGCATTTTAATTTAATGTTTTTGTCTGTTTGTACAACTAAAATCTTCGAATCACTTTATGTCCTTAATATGTCGGTGACCTTTTAATATGTTTAGTAAATTATGTAATATCACATAGTAAAAGTTTTAAATACATTTTCGACAAGGTTAAACAAATATAATGACTGGAAATTCCCGTTTCAGGGCTTGTATTGCCTTGAAAAACAATAAAACATACGACTTTTTTGATGTTTAACAACTTTAAAGTATATAAAATATAAAAATAAACAATTTTAATAGAATGTAATTTTGTTGAATATTCTAAGTGCACTTAGCATTTCTGGCAGTTCCAGCAACTAAATACAGCTTGAAAGGACACCTGAAAAATTATTATTATTATTTGACAAATATTACAAATTTTGCGTGAAATTGGCAAATCACAAAAACATTTAGTTGCCGAAAAAGCATTATTTAAATATACCATTTAATTTATGCAAAAATATGGAATTTAGTTTTTTGTTTAAAGGAATTTTCTGCAATCTGCTTAAATTTGTTAAAGTTACAAAATTTTTTATTTGAAAAACCAGGAGTGGGTCTCAAGGAATTGAGTCTTTGCCACAAACTAAAATTTTATAATCCCTATATCTTTGAAACCTGATGGTGTACACCTTTGATCCAATTGAATTTATAGTTTGAAATATCTAAGGTCTACAACATTGGGTTGCAAAGATATAGGGATTAGAAATTCAGGTTTTGTGGCAAAGACTCAATTCCTTTTTATTAAGTTTCGTATACAGGTGTGTAAATTAAGGCTGTAATATGCCTGCAGAGCTGCGGACTCAAGTTATTTAAATAAGATTCTAAAATTATGAAAAGCATATGTGAGACCTATAAAAGGGAGGGAAGGGGGGTGGGGACAGCAGACATAGTAATCGATTTCATTTTGTGATCAGAAATTCAAAAAGAAAAAAAACGGCAATTTATAATAAAGTTAATTAAAAATGACACTTCTTCCTACAAGAATCATAATTTATTTTCTGAACTCTCACCTGGACACCTTGTCTCTGATCACCATATTCACTACTCCACCCTGTTTCACAAAAATCATTTTTGTTAAAAAAACAAAAACAAAAAGTGTACACCATCAGGTTACTAAGATTACCCATAAAATAGTAATATGATTTAGGCATTTGATGTTTTTAAAGCAAACAGTTTATCATTTGCTTTAAAAGTCGTCTTTCTATTTCATATATTCATGGATCTCACTATAAAGATAAGAAAGATAAAGTTTGAACCAAAAATCAGGTCCTATCCATCGATTAATCTAAGTTTTTTAATTGATGTTTATAAAATGATTTTCCTGAATGGGTCCAAGGCTTTCGTGACAAATACCATCTGAAAAGAAAATAACATTGAACAATTTTATGGCTTCCAACGCATTTGGATTTTACTTTTAATTCCACTACAAAAAGTTAATTTTGCCTTATTCCTGCACGTGAAGCTAGGGGCCCCTCCATCACTTCTGACCCTTTAGTTAAAGTAAATTCATCCTAAAGTTTGACCGCGTCAACCTTGTTGCACCGGCTATCCTATACAGTACAAACTGGGACCGGAAAGGTTGGCCCGGCTCGGAAATTCAAATGTACTACGGCTGCCCGTGCGCGTTACACAAAGTTAATTTCGTATTATTCCCGCAAGTGAAAAACTAGGGGCCCCTCCAACAAATCCAGTATTTTTTGAATATTTAAGTTTACAAATTGTCTTGCGATTTTTTAACGAATTTTGAAAAGAAGATCAAATTATGGATGCACTTCGGTGTGCCTAGTTGTTTGTACCCGTAAAATTTCACTTTTAAAACATTTTCATTTTGTATATTAATACTATTCCTTCCTATTTTAATGTTATCATATTCAAAACTATATCATGCAGTTTGTTATAGCCTGACCAACTCTTTTATAGTTGATAAACCGTAAGTAGGGTTTCCAATGCAAAAAAGTTCTGAGGAAAGCTAGATTTGCCACTTAGTTACCACTTAGTTTTATTTTATAACTAGTATAGTAGGTAAAACCAATGTTACCACTAAGTTTTATTTTATAACTAGTTAGTAGGTAAAATTAATCTCAACCTGAATAAACTGACTGTCCAAGATAGCAGTCCCCATCAATTGAAACCTAAAAATAACAAATAATTTAATGAATTTTAAATGATGAAATGATGAAAAACTATTCAAAAACGATGCAAAAATGATGCAAAAATGACGCAAAAACGACCCAAAAACGATGCATATATTATACAAAAAACGACCCAAAGACGATGCAAAAACGAGACAAACACAAACATGCACTTTTTATTTTTTAAGCAAAAAATGTTGCAAAGTTTAATAAAAGAAAACTTTAACATAATACAGTTTTTTTAATTTTTTTCTTAAATCCAAAGCGATTAACAACAACACTACATGCAGTACCTTAAAAAAAGGGAGAAAATGAGATAACATGGATAATAGGAATGTTAAAAAGGTTTCCTTTGTTGGACCGTTCTAAAGACATTTTTTGTTAAGGTCAAAACCAAAGATGCTTTAAGGTGAACGTAATTCTGATTCACATAAAATATTGATCTCGTTATGAATACATTGACAGATTTTCTCTCTAATTGTTTACTTTTCATGGAGGTTTTATATATAAAAGATGTAGTAAATTAAAAGAATTAAGCACTGTTCAAGCTAGCAAAAACGACGATTTTTCCACATTTATTGATCAAATAAAGGTTTAATGAGTCTCGAGAGCGTATTTTCAAGTAACCCTCCATGCAAAGATGGCAATTCCCGATTCACAACGGTACCCTTAAAGCCTTTGTCTGATCAAATATGAATTTTTTTATATCAATGTTTATAATTTTAAACTAGCTTTATTTGCGCATTGAAACTGCAGGAAAACTTATACGAATTATCAGAAATAAACACTTTTAAACATTGAAAATCGAAAAATCTTCCACAATATTGATTAGATAAAGCCGAATTTAAAGAATTTGAGCCACGGTTTAAATTTAAGCCGCGGCTTAAATTTTGTTTGTTCCACTTAAATTTGTATTAAATTTTTCAAGATTTAAGCCGGCACTCAATTGAAACCGGTCCATTTTGAAATTTATGAAATTGTTTCCATCATTTCTTAAATTCAATAAAAAACCTGAAGATCGCAGTTGATCGCTGTATCAGGAGGATTGGTACAGTACTTCCAATCTACAACCTAAAATTTTTTTTTATATAAAATCTACTGAGAGGTTTTCATTCGTAATTGTTCAATAATAAGGGACAACAATTTATTATCCAGTTTCTTTGTATATAGTTGTGCATTTTCTCAAAAGAAATTTTTTTTGATAATTAAAAATTTTAAATAAACATATTTTTTATGATCTTTTAAACAAAGTTTGGTCAACCTTTCATGAAATTAAGTAAAAAGTTTTTGCGCATGGAAACCTTTATTTACTGTGGTAATCACCAGAAAACTATGGAATAATATTCCGATTTATTTTCTTCAGGACTTTTTTTCCTGAGATCTTATTTCCTGAGACTTTATTTGCAGCCCCCATGCTATTTTAGGAAAAAAGTCCCAGGAATCCAAAACACAGGACTTTTATTTCCAGTGACATTTTTTCCAAGGACTTGATAAAATTCGAACTTTTTTCCAAAGTTTTTATTTTTTTCCAGAAACTTTTATTCCCGGGACTTTCTTACATAGATTCTCCCCCATAGTCCCCCTGAGTACAATTCTTAATCTCCCCCCCCCCCTCCTCCCATATTATTTGACAAAAAATCCAGCCCTAACGGTATAGGGTTAACTTATTTTGAGCATATATATTACAATTAATGTGTATCATTGTACTTAAGTGAATCCCAGATATATGAATACATAGCAAAATGTTTTATAAAGTCGTATTACATATTTGAGATCAAATGCCGCGGAAAAATGAGTTTAATATTAATATATCAATTGCATTCATATTTCAGGGCTATTAATTTAGCTTAAATTAAAAATAAAAGAAGTTTTTTTAGAATTATCAAAAAACTTATGACAGAGTATGTATTCATATATCTGGGATTCACTGTACCTTATTCAGTGCGGTAGCATAAACACAATCTTTAATTGAATTATTTCTAATCTGAGAATGAGAAAAAAACCTCTAGAAAATTCATTATCACTCTTATTGTTATTATTATTATTATTATTATTATTATCTACATTCAGACTTTTTTGATTATTGCCTTCCACTGAATTAATCAGCACTAAGGTAAATAGGATCATTTTAGAATCATGCATACTTTATAACTTTCCTTTTTATCAGATTTTAGAATTAAATTCTTTAGAATTTGAATCTTTTATAGTCAAACATTAAACATGCAGGAACTGAAATGAAAAGGGTTTTACACAACGAGAACCAAAAAACTCTGGAATATGAAGACGACTTTAAGACTCAAGTTATGACTTTAGATGGTCCAGGAAACACAGCATTTGTGTATTGTTTCTTGTAAAATTTATTGATTTATACATACACTTGAAGTGTCTGTAAACGTACTTTCAAGTGACCCTCAATACAAAGATGGCGATGTCCGATTTACAACAGTTTACCCTTGAAACCCTACTCTGAAGAAAAATTTAGTTTTTCTGAGTCGAGACGTGTTTATTTCTGTACGTGTTTCTTCATGGCTTCTTGTTAGCAAGAAATGCACAAGTCACTTGCGCAGAGAAACTGTAAATGAAAATAAACAGTATAAAAATAAACTAAAACATGAATATCTAATTCATAATTGATCGGACTAACTTTTAAGGGAACCGTTGTAAATTAGACATTGCTGTCTTTTCATGCAGTCTTTTGCTTACAGTCCCTTTAATTATAATGTCGTCTTCCTTTTCCGCATTTTCTTGTTCTCACTGTGAATATGTTAATGATTACCTCAGTTGAAGTTGAAGTTAGGAGTAAGAATTCTGCAGAGGAAACTACTTTCCCAGACCTAGCATAGATTTATTAAAATTACAGATAAGACACTAAATGTCGTCTTTTTAAGATTCCTGTGTGTTACGTTCAAAATAATCCTAAGGCAGAAGCCCAAAGGAGTTACGAAATGTCCGCGTAGAACAAATACAGAGAGAGAACATGTTCTACGCCGACTACACGTAACTCCTTTGGGCTTCTTTGATTGTGAACGAAACACACAGAAATCTTGAAAAGAGGACATCTAGTGTCCTATCTGTTATTTTAATTAATCTATATATTATGACTTTTTTAAGAAACTAATTTTTATCTCATACGGAGCAAATAATATTTCTAATTTATAAAAAGTTAACTTTTACAAACATTTGTACATGGTACAGGGTGTCCCAATCAACATGGTAATTAAGAGACAACATGAAAGTCGTCTTTGATTTCTGATATTTAATGCATAGAAAAGATAGCATTATAGAGGACGTGAGGTCGATCTCTAATGAAACGCATAAAGTAACTTTCAATATATCTATTTCTTATAACTTTTACTAGAGGGTTCAGAACATGAGTCTATATCAAGATCACACGCGTTAGACTGAAAGTACAATGCCCCGTATCCGTTCCGGTGAATTTTGTGGAACTTGTTTTAGGCGGCCAGGCATCGTCTTCCACAGTATAAACATGGTCAATAAAGAAAAGTCTGAGATTTTTTAATGTTTAAATAATTTGATAAAGAGTTTCCCATTAACCTGGGAATTCAGTGATTGTACAGTGATTTTAAATCGCGGGCTCGGGTTAGATAGGTCGGGGGGGGGGGGGGGGGGGGGGGTCCGCGTCAATGATCCTTCTTTGACAACCTGTTCTCTGTCTTTCATTTAATAGATATCACAAAAAATGTTCAATTTCTTTAGTGCAATTTTTTAAAATCTTTTTTCGGATGTATCAACGATCGAAGACGATTTTGATAGTGTACATTGCTACCATGTTTATTGGTACACCCTGTAGGACATTTTTAAATAAAAAAATAACATTAAAAGTAAACCTATTGTACCTAACCCCCTGGCAAACATCCTTCTGTCGAGTTAATGTTCCAATAACAATCTCAGGCCCCAGCAGGGTGGGAACTAAACAGAGTCTTAAAGGAACTGTAAGCGTAGTTTTAAGTTATCTTTCATGTATGATGTACAACGGTACCCTTAAATGCTTTGACTGAATAAGAATGCAAGAGATCCATTATTTTTACTTTAAAAATTGATTATTTCATCTCTAGTTTCTTGATAAAGTGATTTGCATAAGCTATTGAGAAAATTGTAAGTTTTAAACACTTTCCATGCAAGAAAAAAATACAGGTTTAAAGGGTATCACTGTGAATAGGGCATGCTCCACTTTAATTGGAAGTTAACATTAAACCATGATTATTGATTATATTAGGAGCAATATGATTGGAATTTACTTGCAAAAAAAGTTCTGCACTTCAGGTTGAAGAAATTGCGTTTTTGCCACAAATCCTTAGTTTCTAAATCCTATATCTTTGCTTGAGATATTTCAAACTATGAGTTCTGTTACAGTCAAACCCTTAATAACGAATACATCGAAAGAATTCATCAAATGTCATATTCTTCACTTTGTGATAATGGAATGTTGCAGATATTTAGTTTTTTAATTAAATGATTATTTGGAACTCTTTAAAACTATTCCCGCATATTCATGGCTATTTATTTATTTTCGCAAATACTGAAATTTACGTAATATAATATAAAACTCATTGAAAAATTGTCAAGACGACATTTGATAAATTCTTCCGATGTATTCGTTATTAAGGGTTTCACTGTAGATCAAATAATTCAAGTTTGAAATATCAAAGGTCTGCACTATCAGGTTGCAATGATATAAGGGTTTAAAAATTTAAGTTTTTGGAAAAAAAGTCACTTCAATTGATCTTTGAATAAGGTCATGTTACAGGGTTTAGTTGAGAGAGAACGATACAAGAGTACAGTCAAGGTTGTAATGCGAGGAAAGTTAATTGCGTATATATTGAAACCAGTTCTCTCTGGGTGGAATTTGTAAACAAGAAAAGATGCATCAGTGTTCGTTTAGTGTCCGAGGAGATTAATAGCATTTAATTTTGATAATTCACAGAATAGATTCCTATGACCAGAATATTTCATTGATTTTTCATGTGAAAGTTTGATCCCATGTCAGAGTTCGACATTCGTCTTGTGATTACATTACCGCTCAGTGACAGTACACTGCAGTACAAAAGATGCGTACACCTCTGAAATAACTTTTCTTGCATTAAATCCTTGAGTACAGTTGTGGGGAAAAATTAATTCTCATCCTCTGTTATTTTAATTATTCAATTCTATCCTTCTCTACAATAAAAAAAAAATATTGTTCAAACAATAAAAAATAAAAATAAATTAAATAAAGTACAGGTAAAATACAAAATGCAGAGATCATAGGTTGCAAAGATATAAGGTTTAGAAAATGAGACCCAAAAACGGAACCAAAAACGGATCAAAAAACGGACCCAAATACGGAACCAAAAACAGACCCAAAAACGGATCCAAAAACTGACCCACAAATGGATCCAAAAATGAACACAAAAATTAACCCAAATACGGCCCCCCCAAAAAATAAGGCCACCACAGTAAACAATATAATGCATACCTACAAATTTACAGAAGTATTTTAAAGTAGCAGAATTAGCGTTCAGGCCCAGCGCATTTTGAAGAATTTGGCCAGGGCTAAAAATATTATTTATGAGATTTCCATTATGTTCTTTTTGAAAATTTATTATTTCTAATTGTATTTTCTCTACAGAGTTATTTGCGCATTTCTGTTTAAGAAACAATGGAGGACATGGTTAGATAAAGAGTTAAAGAACTGTTGTGAATCAGGCATGCCGTCTGTAAAAGGAAGGTCTCTTGAATTAACATTTAAAGATAACGTAAGAGGAATTAAAGTTAGCAAAATCAAAAGTATTTTGAAGGAACTGTAGACGTAAACAGTCTGGCATGTCTTTTTCACAATGATACCTATCGTAGGTAAACAGTTTAAGTAACTACCATACAAATATAATAAAAATTTGGGCAACACCGGGTATTCCAGCTAGAAGCATATAAAAAACATATAAAAATAAAAAATAAATTAATAAAAAATTAAAAAATATAACCTGCTCGCTTCCCACTGGAGTGTGTGTCCTCCTGTGATCAAGCAAACCAACAAAAAGTTTAATTTAAGCATGTCAACCCTTTCTGAAAATTAAAAACTCCAGTTAGATAGTGATGGAGATCGTTTTGAGGTTCGTTTAGAGATATTTAGATTTTTTTGACGTTAAATAATCAAATATTATGTTTATGATATTATTGTACGAATTTTCTTCTCTAATCAAAGATCTTAAGAAAAACGTTTTTTCAAGACAAAAAACGAAAAACGTTTTTTTGATCGTTTTTTGATCGTTTTAATTATATCTTCAGAAATCAGAATAATGTATGCATATTGTAATAAGAGCAAACTTATATAAAGTATGCAATTTTGAAGAAGGATTGAAGGATTCACATATCAGAAAAAAATATACAAAATACTTAAGAACGGACATCCCATCAGCAGTTAGAAATGTAGAAATGTGCTTTAGATAGTAAAATTATTTCTAAATTAAGTGAATGTGGAAAGAGGGGGAATGTACATTGTACACAGGTCTAAATTTGAATAGATTATAGAGCCTGAAAGAGATTTACTAAACAGTCAGCTGAATGTAGCTGTATATAGAATTAAATGAATGTGGAAGGAGGTGGAATGTACATTGTACAGGTCTAAATTTAAATAGATTATCTAGCCTGAAAGAGATATACTAAACAGTCAGTTGTATGTACAAATGAGAATAAAATATATAAGAGTGGAATTTACTCGAAAAAAGTGTAAAACGGCCATTTTGTTGTACTGTTTCCATACTGAAGGTGTACTTCACACATTTGTGCTGCACAACCTTTTGGGCCCTGGAACATCATTTTATAGAAAAGTTTTCATGAAAATTATTTGATTTTCTCTAAATCGTTTCTCTGATAGCCTGTCATGCATTCCCGAGTTCATTTCAGCATAAACGTTGATAAAAATCAATTTGATGTTTTTATTTAGTAAAAACATAATTTTTAGTTCACTGTACAAACGACAATTTTTACATTTTAATGTTTAATAAAATAATTTTAATAATAAAATTTTAATTCTGCACCTATAGCAAATACACACGTTTAAAGTTATTTAACAACTTTTTAAAACAAAGAAATTGGAATGGATATGTCCAGGGATGTACTGCGCATAATTTGTGAACATTTACATGAATTGTACACTTTGAACTCCCTTTCAGGCTGAAAGGGACTGGCAAATTTCATACCGAGGGATTGATTAAATTCCACTCTAATATATTCAATTCTCTTTGTCTATGTATAGCAGTATATAGGATTAAATGAATTTGGCAGGAAGGACAGACTGTAAAAAGATTAGGACTTTTAATTTAATGAGTATTTAAAAATTCTTGGAACACTTTTGTTTAAAGGAGTTGAGCCCATGCCACAAACTAAAATTTACTTATCCCAATATTTTTGCAACCATGGTGGTGTAAACCTTTGATATTTCAAACCTAGTTTGATGGACCTAACATAATTCATAGGTTTAATTATCTCAGGTCTGTGACATTGAGGTGTAAAGCTATGGGGATTTTGTGGCAAAAACGCAATTCCTTTTTTAAAAAACCCACTCATGTCGCCTTAAGAGAAAATTTTTTAATATGTTATTGTTAGGTTTAAATGATCCTGGACCGAATCTTATGAATTTGAGCAAGGTCGCATAAATCATTAATCCCAATTGCTAAATCTCTGTATCTACATATGGGCACTATTGATTTTCTTCTCAATCTTCTCTTTTGGATCTGGAGTTCGTCCAATGAGAATTATCTCATTGATCGCGGGCAAAATTTCAAAATTTCTCATCATCTGATCGGATGTTTGGTTTCTACAATCAATTCTCTGATTGGTTGAAATTTAGATACTTTCATGCATATTATTGTAAGATTAAATTAATCTTAAGATTTACAAAAAGAGGAGATCAAGCCTTGATCTCGATATCCACAATTCTTAAGTTTTCAGCTCATGATTCATGAAGGGTTTAAATTGATGATTCAAATTTGACCTTAAATTTATTTCCTTGAATGATAAATGATAATTAAAACATAGCTAATTATAGTTTGTTTTGCTGAGATTAGAAAACTTTATAAAATGGATACACAATAATATGGCTTTAACTGAGAAAATATTAGATCATGAAATCAAATTAGATTTCTTGAAATTGGTAGCTGGCGATCTTATTTTATCTTAAGTTGTTTGCTTTAAAAAAGGTAAAAAATACATTCATTTAAGAAAATCTTTTTCATCTTTTTTAAAATTTTCAGATTTGTAAAAGATTTAATTTGACATGCGTATAAAAAAGCATATATGATAAAGGCAGTTGGTGTAAAAGCCAATTAGGAAAGAAAAATTTCAAAAATTTTTAAAGTAAAAAATTTAACAGCGTTTGTAATAATTTTTGATACACAATTTTAATATTTTAGATCAATCAGATGGTCTATTTAAAGAGGGGCATTTGTCATATTTTTCCTGACAATTTTCTTGTGGAAAATTTTTTTTTTATTGAGGACCGCAATTGAAAACAATCAGTTTTAAGGCATTACTCACTCGGGTTTTTTAGACAATGGTTCAAAGGGTACCATTGTAAACCAAACATGCCATTTTAAACAGAAGGTAACTTGTAAATATGTTTTCAGTTCCTTATATTTTAAAATTATATAAATTATGTTACTGATGATACTGCAAGGATCAAGTGCAAACTGATTTCATCTTCTAGTCATGTTTATTTTATAAGCATGCGCAGTATAAGGGGGGGGGGGCAACATATTACGTAACTATTTTATATGTAATTGTGTATTTAAAATAAATACTATTAAAAGTACAAAACCTAATGTTTAAATATATGACTTAACAAGAAGAAAAGGCAAAAACTAGATTTATCCAAACAAACATATACAGGGTGTCTCTATAGATTTATCCTTAGTTAATGAAAATAATGCCTCAACCGATTAATACAAAAAAATTCGAATGGTAAAATTGGTAAAAAGAAAGAAAGAAAGAAAGAAAGAAAGAAAAGAAAGAATAAAAGAAAGAAAGAAAGAAGTAAAAAAGAAAAAAAAAATGAAAGAATGAAAGAAAGAAAGAAAGAAAAGAAGAAAGAAAGAAAGAAAGAAAGAAAGAAAGAAAGAAAGAAAGAAAGAAAGAAAGAAAGAAAGAAAGAAAGAAAGAAAGAAAGAAAGACAGAAAGAAAGAAAGCAAGGAAGATAAAAAGAAAAAATTAAAGAGAGAAAAAAGAAAGTAAGACAGAAAGAAAGAATAAACTTACTCTGAATTACTTTCTTAATCTTTCTATTTTTGGGACCGTACTTCTCATGAAACTCTGAAGTTTAAACCTTGGATTGAACTTGTTGCAACAAAATTTGATGAGTTGCAATAGATCTCACACAGAGGCAACATACAGGGGAATTGAACAATCTCAGATTTGAATTATGAATTTGAGGGAAATACGTTGCAAGGAAACATCCTATTAATCTTCTCTCTGTTAGATGAGTTTATCAGAGAGAAAATATTTATAAAATATCAAAATATCCGGTTACATATTAAAGGTTTTCGTCTTCTCAATCGCTCTTTAATAAGATCAGAGATGGAATATAAAGAATTTAAGCCGCGGTTAAAATCCGCCAAAACCCGGTTTAAATTAAGCGCCGGCTTAAATCTTGAAACATTTGATACAATTTTAAGTGGAACCAACCATATTTAAGCCGCGGCTTAAATTTAAACCGCCGCTCAAATTCTTTAAATTCGGCCACAGTTCCAATCTTTCGTGCAATATTTACATTTGTTAGACGTTCACAAGGGTGTAATGCAAGGAAAGTTAATTGCGGTTGCGTATACTCTGCGTACATATTGAAACCAGTTCTCTTTGGGCGGAATTTGTAAACAAGAATAGATGCATCAGTGTTCCTTTAGTATTTGATGAGGTTAAAAGCATTAAATTTGATAATTTTGAAAATTCACATAATAGTTTGCTATGACCAGAATATTTCATTGATTATTAATGTAAAAGATGGATCCCATGTCAGGCTGTAGCATCCGTCTGGTGGTTACATTACCGCCCAGAGACAGTACACCACAGTACAAAAGATTTTTGTTTCCATCGACGGATTTACAAACTTTTTGCGATAAATCTTTTCAGAGTAATGTCACAAAATTCAGCTGTTTCGACGTTTCTTGAAAACAAACAAACCAGCAAATAGACAATCAAACAAACACATTTTATTGACTTATCATAGTGCGTAGATGTGCAAAGTGCACGTGTGTTGTTTTAAAGAATTTAAAGAAGTCACACTTTTTTCATTGTTGTTTTGGAGGCTTGATTATTTACGTAATATAAGTATGGAGAGTCATGTCTTAATAGAATAATTTAAGTTAGAAAATTCAATGGAGCATTTTAAAAAGTCGTATAATTCCCAGAATCCTGAAGTTCAATCAATCTATCTATTTATTTATCTATATATCTATCTATCTATCTATCTATTGACAGTAATAACCAGAAAACAATGGAAAAGGAAGACGACATGATAGCAATACTAAACCGTATTTTATGTTATTACAAAGCAAATAGTTTTAATAGAAACTTGTTGAATCATTAATTTAGTGAAATAGGTCTGTTTGCACTGCACAATTGTCATATTTCATGCTAATTGTACTGATTAAATAGGTCTGTTTGCACTGCACAATTGTCATATTTCATGCTAATTGTACTGATTAAATAGGTCTGTTTGCACTGCACAATTGTCATATTTCATGCTAATTGTACTGATTAAATAGGTCTGTTTGCACTGCACAATTGTCATATTTCATGCTATTTGTACTGATTAAACTTGAGTCTAAAAGTAATTTTCCTATTTCAGAGTTTTCTGGTCATCACTGTATAGATATAATACGAAATAACGACGTTAATTTTCAAGCCTTAATTGTAGATTCCATGAGAAAAAACTTCAGCTTATTTTTTTGGATAAGAACCTTAAAAAATGGAAGAATTCTTTTAGGGGAATAAATAAAATTCTTAAGAAAACAAACTGAACATTTTAAAATTTGCGTCAAAAGTAACAAAAAAAACCCAATTTTT